ATAAAACCAAAGAAAGCCTGGAAAAAATACCGGAACACAGTCATTAAGAGCTTTAATTACCCATAGCTCTTCTAGGAACAACTCGGGAGCTTTCTGTGTGTGCATGCATAACATGCATTCACTGCATCTTCAGAAAGAAACAACTTTGGAGATGACACTTTCTACAACAGGAATCGTTTGCTACTTTATAACTGTACTTCTAAAGTAAATGAAAGAAGAAACAGCTCTACAGAACATAGTGCCACTGCAGTGGAATCACAAAACCAGATTTAACATAATTCTTGAAATGTAGCAGGTTATAAATTTCTACCAGTGTGCTTAACTGCAACTTACACAAAAATTTAATGTTTACAGAGCAACATAAGGCAATTCTGGATTAAACTGTTATTTAAGAACACTGTAAATATTGAGTTATCTGCATGACCTGACTTACCCTGTCCCCTTCTTGATTATTCCACTCAGAAGAGAGGATGTTCAGCCAGAACAGTCAGCAAGTTTCAACGCATACAAATAACTGTATTACCTCATTTTATTTCTAAAAAAAACAAAAGTCAGAGGCTGATATCTCTTTTGTGAGCTACATTCCCATTTATGTGTGTATGCTTTGGAAAGTTATTTCCTTTTCATTTCCCATCTGTTCATAAAAATATCTTGTTTTCCCAGCAACTTTTATTAACCTTGGCCTTTGTAACCAAACACCTTTCCCTGCTGCCCATTTTTTGCAGCAGTTCAAGTCCTAGCAGGCTTTGCACTGGTCTCACCCTGCGCTGGATATTCTCACAGTCTTGTTGTTCTCATCAATACAGAAAAAACAGTAACACTTCAAGTGCTACCTAGCCCACAGCAACGTCAGCTTCCAGGATTCAAAAGTGTTTAGAGAGACAGGTCTATGTCCACCCCCAGTTCTGGGGCAGCAAGAATGAAAAGTGACTACTGCTTAGGGAGCTTACGCAGTCACCTCCCTGGAAGCATTTTGATCTTGCTTCCCATTTTGAATGTAAAGACCATTGCCTTTAGAAAACCACCAGTTGAGCTCCATATTCATTTCCCCCATAGCTTCCGCCAAGCAGTGGGGATGCTCTCCATAACAGGCTTAGCAAGTCAGCTTAATAGCTGAATTCTAACCGGTATTTCTGCTCTGTGGCTTGTTAAATAGCCACCGGGATGAGAGAGGCTCTTCCTTTAAAAAAAAAAAAAAACACAACAAAATTTGTAGGGAGATTCAGGTTGAAAAAATTCATCTATAAGCAGCATGTGGACAGACACACAACTGAACAGGAGTTGGGTTTTGATAATTCTAGATACCTCATCTCATTTTTCTTTAAAAAAGTGTTTATGAAATGTAAGTTTAAGACTTATTTTATCTACAAGCTTCCAAAACTTGTAGTCCAAGTGTTCCCTTTATGCATGGCTATTGGACTGAGGAAAGATACTGCACATAAAAACCTATTGGTCCATAAACTCTGAACTGGTGCTAGTTAAGCTGCAGAACTAGCCTCCTTCCCCTCCAGCCCAAATGCAAGAGTGGGTGAGTCAGCACCCAAAAAAAAACAAGGCAAGTGTTCACCCCCAGCTGTTTTTGGTACTGGTAATTCATCCTCCTCTGCAGAAACTACCAGTACCCAAACCACATCTAAACAACAGTATATAACAGCTAGTAATGACGCTTCAGCAGCACAGATACCTGCAGAGGAGAAAAATCCTCTCAGAAGAGGAGGTACAGGGCACAGGGTAAGTCACCACAGTGCAGTCAGCCATCAAGTATCCAGGGACTAACACAGTGGCCCAACTTCACTTTCTATAGGAACAGCATTCCTTCCCATCACTACCCCCCCCCTCCCCATTCTTTCACCTTAGACTACTAAGAGTAGTACATAGCTCTGGACACACGCTTTCTCTGTGAACAGCCCATGTGCTTTAGATGTTCCAGCTATTTCCTATAATGATCAAAAGGTGACATCTGCCCTAACTACAGAAACATGGTACTTTGAGGTGCCACAAGAAAACATTGACAGTATAATGCAGGACATGAAAAGACTGAAGATCTTTGTTTAGAAGTACAAAGAACAAGAGATGGTAGCGCCTCTGGGTCACAGGACTAAGCCAAAATTCACCTACAGCCACATTCTGGGCAGTAAGTCTTTTCAAAGAATGAGGGTCAGATTTTCAGTCACTTCTACTTTAGTTGATAAAGACATTTTTCTGCTTCCCACTTTAAATAAGTTGTCTCACAAATACTACTCTCCATTTTATAACAGCTGTTAGCCATTACCAGATAGGCTTGCATCTTAGTAACTGATGAAGAGAGGCATGCGTATAGGCTTCAGATAGTAATATGATTTACCATGCCCATTTAATGAAAGTCCAAGTGGAAAAAAGCAAAGACCAAAAAGCCAAGTCATCTGTACACACTGGAATTTAAGTGTTTATTTAAAAAGTAAACCTTTAGGCACATTGCAATTTTAGAAAAAGGAAAAAATACAAAGAATAATCTATTAGATTAAGCAGTCAAAAGCCAGCAATATTACAAGCTGTTTACATACCAACATTTACATTAATTTAAAACAAGTGGCATATCACCAACACATAAAATGTACTTCAAAAGTTTAAAAAAAAAAAATCAAGTTGACTTTTGAAGGATAGAGTTTACCGCATGTGTGAACATGGGTTTGGTCATTCAGTTTAAATCCCCTCTTGCACTGAAATGTTCAGTCTTCAAATTATACAAGTGGATAGCTAGCAGCTGTTGCTATTCCACAGTGGTTCTTCCTGTCCTTGGCCATGTAGATATATCCTTTGTCACCCCACTTCTCACCCCAGCTGAAAATAGAAGTAAGGGTTTGTTTTCACATTCAGAAAAGACTTATTTCCCTCTTCCCCATAAGTGTTTAAATTGAAGATTGCTGCCTCCCACATTTGTGGAGGGGAAAAAAAAAAATCAAGACAGCTGCAGCAAAACTAAAGTGCTTTCTAGCAGTTAAACTGTTACAGAAGAGGCACCCCAAGTTTACAGAAATAAAAGGTGCAGCCATATTCTCTCTAGGTGGAGACCTTAACCTCCAGTTCTGGATTACAGGTGCCTAAAGCTCAGACACCACTTCCAGCCAGCTTTAAGGGAGGACCAAGACTGTAAGCACCATTTGAGGGTGGTGCCCCAGTAATGCTGAGAACTTGAGACAAGCTCATGTGATGTGTCCTCTGGCATTTACTGTTTTTACTTCAACCTAGGAGGTAACTTGATCTTTAAAGTTCAATCATTATTTCACACAAGTGAACAGTAGTCTGCTTCCAAAAAAAAAAATAAAAATCCATTACAACCCCACAGCCTGGTTTCCTCCTGCTCCACCACTTTAACATCTACTAGCTTCATGGGCTGTTCCAGTAGTGAACTCCCTTAAATTTAACTTAAAAAAAACCAGACGAATGAGTTCGGTGCTTTGAGCCTACTTTATTAGGCTGCCAGCAGCATGAGGTTAGCTTTAGTCATACAACAGTTTGAGAACTGTCTCCAGATTTTACACACACAGATTTTTTTTTTTTATTACTGTTGTCTCCTCACCCCCCCACTACAACTGACAAGCTACCTTCTCTTCTCCCCTACCCTTGAAGGGCACAAGGCACAGAGAGATCTTACCTGTTTTTAACAATCCAGTATTTCTTTCCATCCACATCTTCTCCCTCAAAGCCATAACCTACAACCAGAACACCATGGTCCAGGTCTTCACTGCTGCAGTCTGGTTCATAGTAGATACCTGCAGAGGCATAAGTTCACACATGAACAAGCTCATCTGCAGAAAATCCTTCTCCCTCAACCAGAAGCTTTGTGTATTTCAAATTAAATGTTGCACAGCTTCTCAAGAGTCAGAGAAAGGAGTCATAAGTGAAGTATATCACAGCAGAAACCAAGGGACAAGTACACTCATATGCAAGAGAAGTACAAAGTGTGGAGCACCTAGACTAGAATCAAAAGGACTCCTGATTATGTCACAAGATCATAGTTTTGGTTTTTTTCACCTATTAAACTGAAGGGTAATGAATACTAAGTATTCAAAAGAGTTCTCTGCATGCAAGTTGCTAATAAATCCCCACCTGACTGATAGAACTGGAAGGAAGAATGGCCTGCATCAATAGCAACAGACACTGGACCCACAGCTGCCACTGCTTTCATGAGAGCTCTTTCATGTCCTTGAGGGATGTCAACAAAGCCAGTGTCATTAGCAGCATTGTACTCTGCCTTGTAGCGACAGTCTTCATCATCCTAAATAAAGAAAGCCCTAGTTATTACATAGTTCTCCACTTAACAGACAGGTAAGCACAGGAACCACCAAACATTCTGTGACTTTGCTACAGTGAAAACAAGGGACTGAAGAGAATCCAATTGCTTCAGCAGTACTTTGAAAGAAGAGCAGAGGGAGAACACAAAAGCTGCTTTTCAGTTTCTCAAAGATACAGAAAAAGCAAAGGACAGCGGGACCCAAAAGGAAACCTTCACTGGGATGCAAAGGACCATCACATCCTGGAACCCTGCCTTCTTTGGTGGGCAGGCCAAATCTCTTTTCAGGGAGGAAAGAAGCCCAGAATGCATTAATGGAATGGAAGAGATCCAAGTATTCATTAATTACAAAGCAATCCAGAAACTACTCACTGAGCAAGCACTTAAAATCCACAATTTTAGTCTGTCATATTGACAAACTGTACAGAATAATTCGGAAGTTAGTAATTTGTATTATACGACCTTACATACAGCACTCATGTATTTTGTGCTGCTTCACTTTTTTTCCCACAATGAAGTCTGAACTATTGATGCCACAGGCATTTATCTCAGGAGAGGGGCACAGTTTGGAAGTCAGGCCATATTAAATTGAAACAGACTGAAGTAAGCACATCTCTCCCTTACCTATGTGGCAAGATTAGTACTTAAGTTGCCTTCCCCAACTAAAGGAAAGGAGTACATCTCAGTTGCTTACGTTTTGTATTGAGCAAGTTAGGCACCTCCTATAACCAACTATGGTCCCTGGAAGAGCCAAGATTAGGAAACAAATTGAGACTACAGGGATGCAGGAACCCAAACCCAAAGGCTTCTATGTTGCTTGCAACAAACGGCATTGTTATTGCCCATTCAGTGAACACAATACAAGCTGCAAGGAAAGATACTCTATAGTGAGCAGAACTCCAAGGGGTGAAAAGCCCAAATCGTAGGCTCTCAAATGATACCACAATTTACTTCTGCTCTTTTGTCCTCTCACACCTGTTTCACTTTTGGTAGATCATTAGAGGTATTTTAGAAATCTGCCTGTCACCTGCATTTATGCAGATTTAGTCCAGAAGTAGAACTTAAGGCATTGCCAACAACTACTGTTAAAAGAGAAATCACAGTAGCTGCAAGAATTAGCTGTCTATGGGTAGCAACTGCCTCATAGCTCAGTTATGAGAAGTTGAATTGCACCTCTACGACTAAGTAGCACTGTTGACAAGGGCTGGGTCCTGGTTTGGTATGTCAACCAAGATAAGGCATGACGTCCGATAGGAAGGCAGCAATGAGGGGGAGGAATAAGAGTATTTGTTCTAGTTTTTTCAACTGGTCTGGTAAGATTTTGACCTCAAAGTCCAGCGCAGTGTGTGACTCCTTACTGGGGCTAGCAGTCATTCTAGTTTTCTTAGGAAAGATGCAACAGGAAGAATAGATATACTGATTACTACGTAGGTATTTTCCTTTCTAGGTACGAGTTTCCCAACACAGTTTGTCCACACAAAAGACTGATACCTGCAATACAAGCTCAGCTATTGCACTTACCTTTGCAGTGTATGGGTAGGATTCCTCTGAATCAATTCCCCCATTATCCTGCACATACTGGAAAGCCTGGTCCATGAGACCGCCATTGCAGCCTTGATTCCCTTCAGGGCGAGAGCAGTCCACCAGATTCTGTTCACTCAGCGAAACAAGTTTGCCAGTTTTTCTGAAGTGCTGCCCTTCAAGAGCTCCTGTTGTGCTGAAGGCCCAGCAAGAGCCACACTGACCCTGAAGCAAGAAATGAAATCACAAGTTACAAATCCAGACAGATTAGGCAATTATAGTTCCCTTACCACTGATCTAAACATGAAAAATGCAAATGCCACAAGACCAACTTCAGTTTCGCACTCCTAGCATGTACAAGTAAAGATATTACAGACTTTTGAGTTCTTGGAGGTTTAGTATAGAACTCCTTAAAGGGGTGCAGCAACTTTATCAAAATGGCACTTAATTTATTAAGCTTGCAGTAGGCTTCATTAAACAAGTCCACAGTCTTTTTCGTCTATTGAAGTTGAGGTAGCATCCAGGAAACTGGACCTGTAACTGGTTAGAGATTCCACCATGAGAGAATACCTGATCTTTAACTGGAGTTACATATCCCTTCTCTCTCCAGTCTACTGATCGTGGCGCTTCCAGGAAGCTGGGCTCAAGAAACTGGGATCCTCTGTATCTCCTTTCTGACTTCTTGTGTGCATAGCCATTCATCAGCTGCCTGAACTCCTCATTCGTCTGAAGAAAATTCAGGACATGCAGTCACCATCTATGACACACCGCTGTTCAGAACTGTATGTTTCATGCCTCTATACATACCATGTCACCAAACTGATTCATCCCCAACTTGTAGCTGTGTTTTCCTAAGGTGTGATCCAGATTATGGAGTTCAATCATCTTCAGATTCTTCTCCCACACCAGTCTCCGCCAGCCCTCCTCTCTCTGAGGGGCCAGAAAACAACATGCTTCAAGGAGGCAGTTCAAGCAAAGTTCACTTGCACAATAACAATAACATGCGGTGTTATGGCCTGTGTATGCGGGGGGAGATGTAAACTACTGGAATGGGAAGTCCCAACGCTGTTTAAGAGATGGGCTTTTTGCCACCCTGGTAACAAAAACAAGGAGCACAGCACAGCCGACACGCAAACAGAGGGAAGGGACCTAGGACGAAGGGGATGATCCCTCCCAAGCGCAGACCGCACACAGACAGCGCTAAAACAAAGCAGACATGACTCAGCTGGCAGGGCCCGGCCCGGCCCA